CAATATGGTTTTGGAAAAAGCAACATTTGGGCAGGAAAACAGGGATGTGAAGTTCTCATTAGGGCTGTGGGCTCAGGCTTTTAGGTGCCTTGCCAGGGACTTTGCCCTGTTCTATCCAGTATTTCCCTGCCTCCTGTCCGTATCACCGTACCTAGAATGTTGAGTTGGAAAAGTGACCCCAGGAGGGAAGGGGCAGGAAAGAAATCCAGCTCAAGGGAGGCCTTCTTCCCTGTGCCAAGGAGTTCAGATTTATACCCAAAACAATCCTGGGATATTTTTAAATGTTCCCCTCTAGCTCTTGTCATTCTCCTTGGGTCATCTCAGATAACTCCTTCCACTCTCTTTGTATGCTCTGCTACTGTTTTGATCAGTAACCTCAAGGTCTACGAGTATCTTTTAAGCATTTGCATTTTTCTGCAGTTTTGTGGCCAAGGATGCAACACCATAAGACAGGCTTTGGAGCAGAGAAACCATGCTGTGGTCTACCAGCCATGTCACCTGAGCCAGAAAAGCAAACCATTCACAATAGTACGAATATCACACAATAGAATAACAAATTACCATTGTAATTTTTTATCACCATACTTAATATATTTTGAAGGTACATTTAAAGAAAGTCAGGAGGGGGCAGGGGATAGGGAAAGACAAAAAAAAAGAGGTCAGGAAATTTGTTTATCAAAAGGAGATAGGAAATATGACTCACTCACAAAGTATCCAAACATCTAGTAGGTATCTCCACCTGGGTGTCCTACCAGCACCTCCAACTCAGTATGTCCAAAACAAAACTAATGAACTCATCACCTAAAAGGGCTCCTCCTCCCATAGGCCCAAAGTAAGCCAAACTGTCTGTGAGCTGGGCCCTCCTCAACCCTTCAACTCCCTGTCCCTTTCTAGCCATCAAAAGGCGGCGTAGTGAAGACTGTTGAATTTGGAATGTGCCCTTCCCTGGGTTTAATTTTAGCTAGACTGTTCACAAGCTTGGTGACTTTCTAGAAGGATATATGGACTAAATAGTGTCCAGAGAAGGGTAATTATAGTGTCAAAAGTTCTGGAAAAGATGGGCATAACGGTGCACGTTTTCATTCCTGAAAAGCAGATTTTGGTCTTTGAAGGGCAGCTTATGCAAGGGAATTGTGTACATTCACAACCAAATCTTCCTTTCTTATGTACTTATGGTTTATGGGTGGCATGACTTACAGTGTGGTAGCTACAAAGCAACATTAGGCAATTCGCTGTAAATGGACAAGTTCATAACTGAAACCACATCCATGCTTTCGTGCTGGGACTATATAAACCACACTCTTCAGTGATACGTGGAATAAACAGACAATGTTGCACCAGGAAGTTCTCATTAGCTAGAGAACTTCATTCTCTATTTTGTTTTGCCTATTTCATTGTTCACTATGTATCCTCAGCACTTGGAATGAAGTCTGATGTATAGTAGGCATTCTATAAAGATTGAGTGAATGAGTGAATGAATAAATTTGTCACATCTGATAATACTTCTCTGAAGAGAAGATTCAGGTTTAAAAAAGAAAGCCAAGGTTTTTATTATATGGCTGGTTGATTGGTTGGTTTTTTGGGGAGAGTCTCACTCTGTCACCCAGGCTGTCACCCAGTCTAAGAAACTTAGACTCCCACACAATAATAGATATGGAACAAGTAAACTTAATAAACATTTATAGAACTCTCCACTTTAAATACACAAAATATACACTCTTATCAGTACGATCAGTGGTACGATCTCGGCTCACTGCAACCTCCACCTCCCAGTTTCAAGAAATTCTCCTGCCTCAGCTTCCTGCTGGGATTATAGGCATGTGCCACCATGCCCAGCTAAATTTGTGTATTTTTAGTAGAGATGGGGTTTCACCATGTTGCCCAGGCTCGTCTCAAACTCCTGAGCTCAGGCAATCCACCCGCCTCGGCCTCTCAAAGTGCTGGGATTATAGGCATGAGCCACTGCACCCAGCCGATTATATGTTTCTATGTAAACCAGTTTTATTCCCATAAGATAATTTTAGGATTAACCTGCCATTTGAATAAATGGCAGTAATCCTAAATTAAAATCGATGGAATCCCCCAATCAAAAGATACAGCCAAAACCCATTGGTATGCTGCATCTCACATGCAAGGATACACATCTCACATGCAAAGATACACAAAGACTTAAAGGGATGGAGAAAGATTTACCAACCAAATGGAGAGCAAAAATAAATAAATAAAATCAGGACTTGCACTTCTTGCCTCTGATAAAATAGATTTTAAAGCAACAAAGATATAATGGTAAAAGGATCAATGTAACAAGAAGAGGTAACGATCCTAAATATATATGCACCCAATACAGGAACACCCAGATACATAAGACTATAAGAGACTTAGACTCCCACACAATAATAGTGGGAGACTTCAACATCAATATTAGATAGATCAACGAGACAGAAAATTAATAAGGATATCCAGGACTTGAACTCAGATATGGAACAAGTAAACTTAATAAACATTTATAGAGCTCTCCACTTTACACAAAATATACACTCTTATCAGTATCACACCACACCTACTCACAGGTTTAAATGAAATATTGGTTGGCCATTATTAAGCACAATTATTGGCATAGAAAAGGTTTTCAATACCCATTTTTAGAATAAAGCAACACTCCTGTTCTCTCTCCCTCTTCCTCTTTCCTCTCCTTCATTCCTTTTTTTTTCTTTCTTCAAAAATAAATAAATAAATAAATTGTTTTGACTAGGTTTTCCAAATACAAAAGTAGTTGACAAAAAAAAAAAAAAAGGATTAATCTTACCTCTGATGATAAACCTAATAAATGAAAGATCTTTGCATTCTTGAGCTGACTTTGGAATTGGGAATATTAATCCACACTCCCTACCCCAGAAAATCCTGAAGGGAACTGGAAGAGTGAGCTGATGGGAAAGTAGCTGACTGCACTGTACTTCGCGTTGGCTCTCCCCATTTCCCTGCCTGAGTGTAGGATTGGACCAACTGGCCAGGCATGGTGGCTCACACCTGTAATCCCTGCACTCAGCGGTGAGCTGAGATTGCACCACTGCCCTCCAGCCTGGGCGACAGAGTGAGACGCCATCTCAAAAGGCCAAGGCAGGAGGATCTTTTGAGCCCAGGAATTCAAGACAAGCTTGGACAACAGAGGGAGACCCTGTCTCTACAAAAAAATAAAACATTAGCTAGGCATGGTGGTGCATGACTGTGGTCCCAGCTACTCAGGAGGCTGAGGCGGCAGGAACACCTGAACCTGGGAGGTCCAGGCTGCAATGAGCTATGATGGTGCTACTGCACTCCAGACTGGCAGCACAGCAAGACCAAATCTTAAAAAAAAAAAAAAAAAAGATTGAGCTAGTTAAAACAAGCAAAAACCATCAGTGGTCTCTTTTGTATCCGCCAGTTAAAGACTTGGGGGAATATGAAATCCTTGAATACTCATTAAGTTTGCTTTCATTTGTAGCTTTCTTACTTTCGGTGCTTTCACTCAGTCAACTGACAGTTGAGAGAATTTGGAAAGTATATATCTAGAAAGTATAATTTTCCTGGTCCTAAACAAGAATATCAAGTCTGGCCATGTAGTTGGCTCATGCCTGTAATCCCAGCACTTTGAGAGGCCAAGGAGAATGGATAATTTGAGGTCAGGAGTTTGAGACCAGCCTGGCCAACATGGTGAAACCCCCTCTCTACTAAAAATACAAAAATTAGCCAGGCATGGTGGCAGGTGACTGTAATCCCAGCTACTTGGGAGGCTGAGGCAGGAGAATCACCTGAGCCTCAGAGGCAGAGGTTGCAGTGAGCCAAGATCATGCCACTGCACTCCAGCCTGGACGACAGAGTAAGACTCTGTCTCAAAAAAAAAAAAAAAAAAAAAAAAAAATCAAGTCTAAGAGAGAAAGGATTAAATCACATGTGTTGGCAGAATCTGGAATCTCCCTTTTTAGTTGCCGTATTTCCAAGAGAAAAGGAAAAGAAGGCTCTACCTGCTTTTCTTCATTATCCTAGAGAATCTTGGAAGTCTATGGCCTGAGAATAAATTAGTGTCAGAAAACGGAGTACATGGGAACATTCTCCCTGAATCATAACATAAACCCATTTGCCTGGAGTGTACACATTTCATTGTACCAAATAAGTATTCTAAATTCTTTGTACATTTAATTGGCACCAACCAGTAGCCAGAGCTTGCTTTCAACTAAGGTGACTGCTCCTACAGGAAGATTTACCTTAACTCCGCCAGCAGAAGACCAACACACGTGAATCGTTTCGGAAGTTGAATTAGGTCCTGTGGATAGAAGATACTCTGGGACCTGCAGACAGACTTCAGGATCGATTTGCTTTTTCTGGGCTTCAAATTTGTTTTTATCTTAGACAAAGACCTAAATTTAACACAACTGATTCTTATAGTTATAATAGGGAAAGAAATAGAAAATTCACTAGGCAGTTCATATTCTTCTCAACCATTTTGAATCATTACCCCCTTACAAATTCCTGAAGCGTGCCAGTGTCTAATTAGAGCCATGAAAGATAGGAGTTTCAAGGAACGATTCCTTTTCAAACTTTTTAATACTGTAGCTCTGAAAAGCTCATCTACAAATATATTCAATGCCACCAGTTGTGCATGGGGTTGAAAGTGGCTGGGAACCAGATTTCAACGAAATGTAAGAAAACATATTCAAATGCATAAACTCGTCTGTCTGTGGAGCTACAGCAGTCCAGTTCAGGTAGTTCTAGGATTCTCTAATAGTGCTCCAAGTGGGAAGATGTGTTTACCCAGGCCTTGTGCAACGAGAAACAGCAGGAACAGGGATGGAGGCTGCTGTGATTCTTGTGGGAGACAATGGCAAGAGGAGTCCATCTGAAATGGAGATTTCATCTGGGAAAACAGGAGGTGCTGAAGGGTTGTATGAAGAAATAGGTATCAGATTATTTGGGATCAATGGTATACTTGACTCTGACACTTGACTTTCTTTCTTTCTGTACAGCCAGTGCGGATTTTCCATATAATCCAGGACAAGGCCAAGCTATAAGAAATGGAGTCAACAGAAACTCGGCTATCATTGGAGGTAGGTGATGTGTAGAGCAGCCTTGTGTGGGGCTACTCACCTAAGTCATAACTGTCAATTACACAGTAGTCCAGGAAAAGAGTTTTCTGGATTTTTACACTATTCACTTTGCTGTTTAAATAGGACATAAGCTTATGAAGTATGATGTGAAGAAATACAGTAAATGTGGCCGGGCACAGTGGCTCACACCTGTAATCCCAACACTTTGGGGAGCCAAGGTGGACAGATCACCTGGGGTCAGATGTTCAAGGCCAGCCTGGCCAACATGACAAAACCCCATCTCTACTAAAAATACAAAAATTAGCCAGGTATGGTGGCTCACACCTGTAGTCTCAGGTACTCAGGAGACAGAGGCAGATGAATTGCTTGAACCCAGGAGGCAGAGTTGCGGTGAGCTGAGACTGCGCCACTGCCCTCCAGCCTGGGCGACAGAGTGAGACGCCATCTCAAAAAAAAAGGAAATATAGTTAAAATTGTCACCTGTCTACTTTTTTTTTTTTTCCTCTGAGAGTCTCGCTCTTGTTGCAGGCTGGAGTGCAATGGCATGATCTCAGCTCACTGCAACCTTTGCCTCCCAGGTTCAAGCAATTTTCCTGCCTCAGCCTCCCAAGTAACTGGGATTACAGGCATGCATTACCACGCCCAGCTAATTTTGTATTTTTAGTAGAGACAGGGTTTCTCCATGTTGTTCAGGCTGGTCTCGAATTCCTGAGCCTAGGTGATCCACCCACCTGGGCCTCCGAAGTGCTGGGATTACAGGTGTGATTCACCACGCCTGGCCAACCTGGCTGGTTTTAATGCTTGCTTGCTTATAAAAAACAAATGGGAGTGGTGAGCAGGACAGACTCAGAATACACAAGTAGGTAGTAGTGACCGCAGCCAGGACACTTCTTTACCCCCTCTGATCTTTTTCAGTCTCATTCTTTCACATCTCAAATGGTCCAGGATAGCATACTATAAAAAATGAAAAGGAAAATCCCATTCTGGTTTCAGTTACCGTAACAAAAATTATCAGAAAAATTACTGGAGGTCATTATTTTAAGTGAAATAAGCTAGGCATAAAAAGAAAAGTATTACCCGTTCTCTGATACACGGGAGCTAAAAGATTTGAACACATGGGGGTAGAAAGAAAAACAGGTAACAGAGACTGGGAAAGTGGAGCAGGAGGAGGAAGGAGAATGAAGAGAAGTGTGTTACAGGGTGCAAGTATACGGTAAGATAAAAGGAACAAATTCAGCGTTTGCCAGCAGGGTAGGATGACTGTGTCTGACAAAAGTGTATCGTACTTGGTTGAACACCCTAAACACTATGATTTGATCACTATCCCTTATATACGTGTAACAAATTTTCTAATGTACCCCATTAATTTGCACAATAAAAAATAAAAATGTATCAGAAAATTAATAAGCTGTAGCATTTAAAATATTCCAGTCTTTTCTTCGCACCATGGACAGCTACATACTAATTTGACTCTCCTAGGACAGCCATTGAGCCTCATGTGTAGATTAATATTGGCATCCCTGTTGCCATCTAGATCCCAGTCCTCAATGTTTTTTGCTTCTTTTTTTAATCAACTTAATTGAAGTATAACATGCACCTATAAATGTAACAGATTCATAATGTTTTTTTTTTGAGACAGAATCTCACTCTGTTACCCAGGCTGGAGTATAGTGGTGTGATCTCAGCTCACTGCAGTCTCTGCCTTAAGGGTTCAAGCGATTCGCCTGCCTCAGCCTCCCAAGCAGCTAGGACTACAGGCACACACTGCCACGCCTGGCTAATTTTTTGTATTTTAGTAGAGATGGGGTTTCACTGTGTTGCCCAGGCTGGTCTCAAACTCCTGAGCTCAGGCAATCCACCAGCCTCGGCCTCCCAAAGTGCTAGGATTACAGGCGTGAGCCACTGCACCTGGCCCCCGTCTTTTTATAATTTGTCGTTGGTTTGTCCTATCTAAAAAGTCTGCCTACCCAAAGGTGTTGAAGATTTCAGCTTTATTCTAGAAGTTGTATAGCTTTATCGTTTACTGTTAGGTCTTTAATCGCTTTGAGTTAATGTTTACAAATGATGTCAGAGAAGAGTAAAGTTAGTATTTTCCAAGTGAATATCTACTTATTCCAAGACTCTTTGTTGAAAAAAAAAAAAAAAAAAACTATACTTTTCCTCAATTGAATTTTTTTGGTACTTTTGTCAAAAAGCAGTTGACTCTGTGTGTGTGTGTGTGCATGAGTGTGTGTGCGTGCGTGCGTGTGTCTATTTTCTGGCCTTTTGTTTTGTTTCATTGGTCTGTATATCTTTCCGTAGCCAATTCCATGCTTGCATCATTGTTGTATCTTTACACTGTCTTGAAATAAGCAGTATAAGTTCTCTAATCCTTTGTTTTTAAAGATTATTTTGGCTATTCTATGTCATTGGCATTTCTACATAAAATTTAGAATCAGCTTATAAATTTCCACCAAAAAAAAATGGCCATGATTTAGATTGGGATTGTATTAAATCATAAATGAACATCTTAACAATATTTAATATTTCTATTTTTTTTTTAGATGGAGTCTTGCTCCATCACCAGGCTGGAGTGCAGTGGCACAATCTCAGCTCACTGCAACCTCTGACTCCTGGGTTCAAGCAGTTCTCCTGCCTCAGCTTCCCAAGTAGCTAGGACTACAGGCGTGTGCCACCATGCATAGCTAATTTTTGTATTTTTAGTAAAGACAGGGTTTCACCACATTGGCCAGGATTGTCGCGATCTCTTGACCTGGTGATCTGCCCGCCTCAGCCTCCCAAAGTGCTGGGATTACAGGTGTGAACCACTGCACCTGACCTAGTATTTCTATCTTTGCATGGTATAACTATACATTTATTTGTCTCTTTAATTTCTCTCAGCAACATATTGTGGTTTTCAGTGAGAAGTCTTAACAACTGTTAAACTTGTGCAATTGTTATTTTATATTTCATTTTCTAGGTGTTTCTTTCTGGCATATAAAAGCATAATTGATCTTTTATATCAGCCTTGTATTCTGTGACCTTGCTAAATTTGCTGTCAGTTCTAGTAATTTTTGTTTATATATTCCTTAGTTGTCTATTTAAACAAAGCATGTTATCTCACAATAATGAGATTTTTTTTACTAGTTTCTTTCCAATCTATATGCTTTTTTTAAATTGTTTTATTGCATTCTCAGTATAAATGCAATAGGTAGGACTTTCAGTATAAAAGTGAATAAAAATGTTGAGATTTCACAATTTTGCATTGTTCCCTATGGTAGGAAAATGTGTTTGATCTTTCACTATTAAATAGGATATTGGTGGCCAGGCGCAGTGGCTCATGCCTGTAATCCCAGCACTTTGGGAGGCCAAGACGGATGGATCACCCGAGGTCAGAGTTCAGGCCTGGCCAACATGGTGAAGCCCCACCTCTCCTAAATATACAAAAAAAAAAAATAGTTGGCTGTGGTGGTAGGCACATGTAATCCCAGCTACTCAGGAGGTTGAGGCAGGAGAATCGCTTGAATTCAGGCAACAGAGGTTGCAATGAACCAAGATCATGTCATTGCACCCCAGCCTGGGTAACAACAATGAAGCTCTATCTCAATAAATAAATAGGATACTGGCTGTAGGTTTCCAATAGATATTCTTTATCAGGTTGGGAAAGTTTCTTCTACTCATAGTTAACTGAAGGCTGTATGATGAATGGGTACTGGAAGTTTTCCAAATGCATTTTCCGCATTTATTTCTATGATCATATTGTTTTACTCCTTATTTACTAAATTTGGTAAATCACATTGCCTTATTTTTAATGTTGAACCAACCTTGCATTCCTAGGATTAACATTACTTCATCGTAATTATGATCTTTTTTGGTTTGATTTGCTAAAATTCTATTTAAAAGAATATTGCTCCATAGTTTTCCTGTAATGTCTTTCTGATAATGCTGATCTCATAAAATGAATTGAGTAGTGTTTCCTCCTCCTCTATTTTAAGAAAGACATATACGATTGGTCTAGTGTCATTAGGTAATATTTGTTAATAGTATTGTTCAGGTCTTTAAAATTTTTGCTGATTTTGTGTTCAGTTGTTCTGTTACTTACAGAACGGTGTTAAAATCTCGAAGTATAATTGCAAATTGGTCTAATTCTCCTACCAGTTCTTGCTTCATTTATTTGTACGTCTGTTGGTTTATGCACATTCAGAATCACTATGGCTTCTTGGTGACCCTTTTGTCATTATGAAATGCGATTCATTTCTACTAACAACCTTGTTCTTTGTCTTATATTAACATAGCTATTCCAGCTTTCTATGATTATTGTTTGCAATCTTTTCCCACCCTTTTAACTTTTGACCTGTATAGTTCATGTCTTCTAGACATCATATAGTTGGCATCTTTTTTATCCACTGTCTCTATTATTTAATTGGAGTGTTTAGATCAGTTATATTTACTTCTATTTTATCTAATCTGTATTATTTCATCTAGTTTTTTGTTTTGTTTTGTTTTAGATAGAGTCCTGCTCTGTCACACAGGCTGGAGTGCAGTGGCACGATCTCGGCTCACTGCAGCCTCCACCTCCCAGGTTCAAGTGATTCCTGCCTCAGTCTCCCGAGTAGCTGGGATTACAGGAACGTACCACTATGCCTGGCTAATTTTTGTGCTTTTAGTGGAGACAGTTTCATCATGTTGGCCAGGCTGATCTTGAACTCCTGACCTCAGACGATTCACCCACCTCAGCCTCCCAAAGTGCTGGGATTACAGGCATGAGCCACTGTGCCTAGCCTGATCCAGTATTTTTTTTCATTTCAGATATTGTGTGTTTCACCTCTACAAGTTGCACTTTGTTTCATTTTATATCTTCTCTTTTTCCCCTCATTTTGATCATGTTTTCCTTTAAATCCTTATGCATGTTTCTAATAGCTGTTGTACTGTCCTTATCTGCTCATTCCATTCTCTGTCATTTCTGGATCTCGTTCTAATAGACTGATGTTTCTTCTGGTCAAGGGACATTTTCCTACTTTTTTTCTCTGAATGCTTGATAATTTTTATTTTCTTTAATGAATAATGAGGTTTGTTTTAGAGGTGATTACTCGCATCTTGATGTTATTTAGATGTGTTTTAAAGCTTTTAAGGGCATGTCTAGAGTAGTCCTTATTCTAGGCCTATTTTAGCAAAACATCTTCAACATGACCATTCTATCAACTGTATCAAATGCCCTGATTGTTCGATGAGGTCTCTTCAGTGTGCTTGGTTGGAATATAAAAATCTCCCAGCCCTCTACGAGCTCTGGAAATCATTCTGCTTACAGCTCTTTAGTCACTGCTTTTTGCCTGGCCTGTGGACTTTCCTTCTGTACCTACACATGTTAGTATTGTTCAGCCACGAATTCAAAACTATACACAGCGCGTGTGCGCGCGCGCTCTCTCTCTCTCTCTCTCTCTCTCTCTCTCTCCCCCTCCCTCCCTCTCTCTCTCTCTCTCTCTCCCTCTCTCTCTCTCTCACTCTCTCTCTCCCTCCCTCCCTCCCTCCCTTCCTTCCTTCTCTCCATTTAGGGAAACCACTATGCTTTCTTGTGCTTCACCTCCCTACACTGCGGTCCAAAAATCACTGCCAGCCAGAAAACTAAAAAAGGGATTCGTTTTCCTTCTCTCTTCTCAGACATCATGGTTCTGCTCTGCCTGTTGTCTAATGCCTGAAACCGGTCATTTCATAGATTGTGTCCAGTATTTTAGTTGCCTTTGGCTGGAAGACAAGTTACTGCTGTTTTTCCTGCTATCTTTGTGGACAAAAACAGAAATGTGATTTCGTTTTTGTTGTCTTTGCTGTTTTGGAGTCTGTGTTTTATATGGGGGAGGGCTCTGTCTGAGGGAGCTGTAGAGTGAAGCGGGGACACAGTATTGGAGGGACACCCAAGCCCTGTCTAATCTCTCGTGCTTCTCCTGTCTCCACCAGGGGTCATTGCTGTGGTGATTTTCACCATCCTCTGCACGCTGGTCTTCCTGATCCGGTACATGTTCCGCCACAAGGGCACCTACCACACCAACGAAGCCAAGGGGGCGGAGTCGGCAGAGAGCGCGGACGCTGCCATCATGAACAACGACCCCAACTTCACAGAGACCATTGATGAAAGCAAAAAGGAATGGCTCATTTGAGGGGTGGCTGCTTGGCTGTGGGATGGGGAGGAGGGAATTACTAGGGAGGAGAGAAAGGGACAAAAGCACCCTGCTTCATACTCTTGAGCACATCCTTAAAATATCAGCACAAGTTGGGGGAGGCAGGCAATGGAATATGCTTGAGACTGATCACCACAAAAAAAAAACTTTTTAATATTTCTTTATAGCCGAGTTTTCCCTTCTGTATCAAAACAAAATAATACAAACAATGCTTTTAGAGTTTAAGCAATGGTTGAAATTTGTAGGTAATATCTGTCTTATTTTGTGTGTGTTTAGAGGTGTTCTAAAGACCCGTGGTTACAGGGCAAGTTTTCTACGTTTTTACGAGCCCTTAGAACGTGGGTATTTTTTCTTGAGAAAAGCTGATGCACCGACATATGGCCCCAACACTCTCTCCCTTTTGCTTCTAGTCAACCTTAATGGGCTGTTGTAGTAAATAGTTCCTGTTCATCTACTATTTCCTTTGACGTCCTTTAAGTTGGAAAAGAAAGGGACAAAGAGAACTTAGTATTTGCCAGTTTTCAAGCAGAACTCAATCTGCACCAGCTCTCTGGAATCTGGGGTTCCTGACCGATACCAGCAGTTGAAGAGAGTACATGGCACATGGTGTGCAATGACACAATGAGCACAACTGGAGAGAGACGCTGAAGAACCAGGGAAGGTAGTTTATATTAGGGTTGTTGGTTTGATTTTTCATTGAATTCTACTAAGCTAATATCGTTCCACGTACGTAGTCTTAGACCAGTTCAGTATCTGTAACTACCTGCTGCAATACCGTGGTGACCAGATGTTACAAAACATCTTTTCCCATTTTACCTGAAACACATTGAATTTATATGTGTATAAGCGCCTCAGTGGGGAATTAGAGCCAGATGTTATGATTTATTTGCTCTTTTCCTTTTTTAGTTGTAACAGAAGTATGGATACTTTCTAGTGACTGCATCAATTAGGTTGCGCTTATTTTGCTTTACATCTCTGGTAGTTTTTCCACCCCTGTGACAAATTCCTAACAGACAGTGTCCTATAAATGGACACCACACAATAAAGCCAAGTTATTACTGCTGTTACTCTGGATCATATGGAAAACACTGCCATATTTTAAATCAACTACTGCACGTGTTGTTCCATTCAGTCACACTGCTGTGATTCAGGGATCTTCTAAGACGGACACATTCGAACCTCAGGTTCCTCACAAACCTGGTACTTGTTGCTTCTCAGAGGATGGACAAGTGTAGTTAATCACGCCTCTTAATCAGAAGCCTTGACCCAGTTATTTAACAGATAACTCATTGATTATATTTAAAAATAATAGACTTCATGTAAACAAATGGGGACAATGCATCCAAAAATTATTTTTTAAACTGATTACACAAAAATTGCCTCAAGAAAGACTGTCACTTCTAGGCCGGGCACACTGGCTCACGTCTGTAATCCCAGCACTTTGGGAGTCCGAGGTGGGTGGATCTCGAAGTCAGGAGATAGAGACCATCCTGGCTAAAATGGTGAAACCCTATCTCTACTAAAAATACAAAAAAAATTAGGCGGGCATTGTGGCACACACCTGTAGTCCAGTACACAGGAGGCTGAGGGAGGACAATCGCTTGAACCTGGGAGGTGGAGATTGCAGTGAGCTGAGATCATGCCACTGCACTCCAGCCTGGGTGACAGAGCAAGACTCCACTTGGAAAAAAAAAAATAACAAGAAAGACTGCCATTTATGATCTATTTCAAGCCTCTACTTCATAAGCACTTTTTTAAAAATCTTCCTTAATCATATTCTGAGGAATTAAATATGATCACTTTTTCCTTCTCTGCCTGGAAGAGGTTAAAAGAAGGTCAAATGTATGGATGTTATTGTTCTGATGGCCTGACTCAAAAAATGGAAATTCTAGTTTGTTAGAATTATGCAAACTTTTTCAAGAGTCTCAGTATGCCTAACTTATTGGAGCATGTCAGTTTCTTGGGTAATGGAAAACGTTACCTAGAGTTGTCAATGGCACATTACACCAGTGCATAGCACATTCCAAAGGAGACACTGGACCAGTTGCTTCCCATGCAGCTCAAGGTAACAGAACAAAAGGGAATCCTGATGCTCTTTTACCATTGCTGACTGAGCTCAGGCACTGTCATGAACACCCTTAATTTTAAAAGGTTTTAATCATTCTTCTATAAAACATTTAAAATGAAAAAGTATTTAATATCACTAAATATCAGAACAATGTAACATTTACAAATAACATATTGAAAGCAAAGGCTGTTTTATTTAGCCAAGGTGATTACCATTAAGAGTTATTTTATGTATTATTGAAAGCAAATTTTAAACCTAATGTTTTGTAAGTGTTTCTGGTTTGTTGAGTGTTTAGATGGTGTCACCAGGCTGTAGTGCAGTGGCGCCATCTCGGCTCACTGCCATCTCCACCTCCTGGGTTCAAGCAATTCTCCTGAGTATCTGGGACTACAGGCATGCACCACCATGCCCAGCCAATTTTTTTGTATTTTTATTAGAGATGAAATTTCACCATGTTGGCCAGGATGGTCTTGATCTCCTGACCTCGTGATCCTCCCGCCTCGACCTCCCAAAGTGCTGGGATTACAGGCGTGTGTGTTTCTGGTTTTTAAACCTGGCTTACAGGCATTACTTCTGCACTTAACAGATAATGCCAGATGAAAATATACTATTTCTTGGAATTCCCATGATAGCTCTGTTCATTATTCATTGTCACAACACTTTTCCTTTTTTCCCAAAATGAGTAGGGGATTAAAGCCACCCAAAACAGCTTCTGCTACTAAAATGTTCTCATCCTTTCTCCTCCCTCTCCTTTTCCTGCCACAAAAGGTGAAAAATGAGATCCAGTCCTCTCACCAACATTTCAAACCTAGGACACTAGAATGACTGCAGGGATCAGTGGTTCTCCCATTTCACCATCAATTAAGTCATCGAGGACACTGTCTCTCTCTTAAAGAGGGTTCCAATGTGACCATCAGACAGGAAACCAAAAGGTGGATAAAGTATTAAGTAACTAAGTGCCAAATAAATGCTGGAAATCTTGACCTCTCCTTGGGATTCTGGATTTAACAAAAAATCCCTACATCTGTTTATGAAGGCCATACCCAGTACATTTTAAATAGTAAATAATCTATTTATATGAAGAAAAGGAAGTCTTTCTTCCATCTCTCTCCCCGGACAGCCCAGCACAATGCAGCCTTGATAACTAAGACATTACCACAAGCACCCAGTACCTAGTCCTGCCTTGTCATTCACATCTCACACAATCTTGACCTCTTACATTCCAATACATTATCAATCAAGCACAAGTATGCTGGTAGTAGCCTCTTTAAATAATATGTATAGACCAAAAAAAAGAGGCTGTTTTGAAGTTTCAGGGAAAGTTAATGGCTGATCAAGGTTGTGCGGGAAACATCTGTGTATGAAGCAAATATCGATGTTTTGAGGAGCTGAGCGTAGATGACTTTGAATGAATGCAAGGTTAGTGCTATTGTAAGCTCTCAAAATAGAATATTCCCTACAGTTCAAGAAAGCTGATCCAGGAGGTTGAAAACGTTGTTTTGTTCAATTATTTTCTGGCCCTTCTTAATATATAAAAATGTATTTCCCCTTATGACTTTCAATCAACTCCTCAAAAAAAGAGATTTGTTATCTGGAAGATTTTATTAAAGGGCTGGAAACAAGAATTTAGAGAGCCTTTACTAGAAAAGGCCTACTGCCCTACATTTGACAAACAAGCATCGTGTACTCACAAGAGCAGGAATCCCAAGGCACAAGGAAAAGCAATGGCCTGAGCCAAAGAGTTCATCTTAATGTTATTTTCGAGCATCTGCTGAGCAGCCACCATAAGCAGGCTGAGAGCTGGGCAGACAGAAGCCGTCGGGAGCACTTCAGGAACAAGCGCACAGCTATGGAACTTGTAAATGCAAGCGTTCAGGTCGTGTCACGCAGCTTTTCTCTGCTTCTATGATGGAATCTGTTCTTTTCAATCCTACTTTTTTTCTCTTCCTCTCCTCACCACACTCTATCCCATATCCTCCTCTTCTGCAGTGAGCGTTTCCATGGCCCCTTTATGTCTCATGCCTCCAAACAACTAACACCGGATTTGAAACTTCCCCTTTTTTTTCTTTTCCCTACCCTGTTGAGCAGTTTTCAGAAAAAAGGGCAGCCATTATCAAATTTGATTCAAGTCAGCCAGCCAAAGATAGGTCCCAGTAGAACCACCTGATCCTAAATTGGTGAGAAACAAACAATAACAATGTGCCCAGCTGACTTGAGCTAAGAACTAATGCCCCCCCCCCTTTTTTTCCACCTTTTTTTTTTTTTTTTTTGAAAGGGAGTCTTGCTCTGTCACCCAGGCTGGAGTGCAGTGGTGTGGTCTTGGGCTCACTGCAACCTCTGCCTCCTGTGTTCAGATGATTCTCCTGCCTTAGCCTCCCAAGTACCTGAGATTACAGGCCCCTCGTCATCACACCTGGTTAATTTTTTTTTATTTTTAGTAGAGATTGGGTGTCACCATGTTGGCCAGGCTGGTTTCGAACTCCTGACCTCAAGTGATATGCCCGCGTCAGCCTCCCAAAGTGCTGGGATTACAGGCGTGACCCACCACCAAGCTGGTCTGGCCCCATTTTTTAAATGATGTTTTGGCAAAAGGAGACCCTGAGTATTAGCTGATAGCATCCTCTTTCTCTCTCCCCACCTTGGTGTGACCCTCCCTGTGTAACCTTGGTCAAGTCCTCAAACTTTTGTCCCATATTTAAGATGGAGCTGTTTTACCTACTTCATAAAACAGTTGTGAGGCGCCATTGATTCCTGACTGCAGAATACCCTGAAACCCTTATCTAAAGGCTAACGTCAGTGGAGCCTAGTGGAAGACTTGCTTTGTGGCTTGTGGTTGAAAGTCACATCGAAACATTAATGTGGCCACATTCAGGAACTGGAGACTTAACTGGCATTGCTCTACAACCCGATTATTAATCTTGCAGACCGACTTTCGACACTGGGAGATGTAACACAGCAAAAGGACAGAGATGAGAATTTTTTGTGCAGAAAGCCCTAAATTCCCATCTGAACATAACTTACAGCTCACCTTACCTACTCTTACACATGCCCTCCAACATGCTAGACTGCTTATACATAGGCCAACATGAAATACAAATGTGACATGTTCATGTAGCCTAGGGACTCTGTGCCTATTCTCCATGTACCCTGCATGGTAACGTTTGAAATTTTAAAGTACATCTCCTTCACAGCAGTACTTTTTTTCATGAGTGGGATATAAATCCCATATTCAATGAAATGGGGAAGTCACATTGAGAAGTTGGTTATCTCCCATTGAGCAAAGACTGGCAGGAGATAATAAATATGGGCACACATGTATTAATCTACAGCACGCATTTACAGGTTTACTTTCCATACAAAATTGTGCTGTAAGAACAGTTCTATCAAGACAGTCTGCACTATTTCCAAGTCTCGGTTAATGTATAGCAACCGCTGCTTTCGGAGATGGCTGTGAAAAGATGGAAGATCCTCTCGAGGCCAAGAAATGGTTCTAGATTTTACTGATTCTAAGATTTAGTTTGTCAGGTTTTTAACATTTTTTCAGTGAGCATGATGACTGCAGAGGTTAGAGCTGTGAAAAGCTGGGCTAAATATGCTTTCTGTCAAGTCAATTAGGATTCCATCCCTGTGAAATAACGCAAAATTTCACTCTCTAAAAGCAACAGCATGTAAACTAGAATGAAAGAAGGAAATTATGTACGTATGCCTAATATTCTTTGTGAATGTCTTTCATTTAACTAAAATTATATTAGAAGCCAGATTGATAAATAAAAAATTCAAAATAGTTTTAATTATCCTAAAATCGATTCTTTGTGTTTTGTACCACCTGTTTCTCTTAGGAGCAAGTTTCCACCTTCATCAAAAATAAGTTCCAAGCACTGAATAGAAGTCTACTGAGAATATAGTCTTTCCTCAAGCTGTGGAGATGCAGTCACTCCTGAAAGACAGATCTGATTTGGATATATCCATGGTTAACATTCTGCCACAGATACTTCCCCGAAAAAGAGGACTTTTTCTTAAAGTAGCTTAGTAGACACTGACTTTAATTTACACACATCTTGATAAAATGTGGTTTGAGTCATCTCCAGAATATATTCTGATTTTTATTTGGAATGAGGGAATATTACAGGATACTGGGTACATGGCTCCAAGCCAGGGAACTAGATAGCAAGGGCTTGGCATGCCCGGAGGTGCAAAGCTTCCTAAATGCACTCTGTGTGCTGTTAGATCTAACTTACTATTCTTACTTGCAATGAGCAGCTCTACACAAACCACCTCCTCCAAAGCCAAGGAAGCTGAGATGCCAAAGAAAGAGGCTGAGAAATCCAATTTCTCAGAAAGAAACAGAATAGAGAATTACAAACAGAGGCCATGTTTCAGGCAACCACAGACAGACGGCAAATGCCCGCACTGTTATCCTCCACGCCCCCCACACCCTGGAGCCAGGGCTTATCCATCAGGGAGAGGGTCTCCGGACTTCAGAAGGGGTGTGTAGGACACTTGCTTAAGGGCAGGGTTTATGGTAAGTATGATATCAAAGTTGTTTTGACCTAAGGATGGGATTTATGGTTAAGTATGATTGCTTTTGCATAAGCAACCACAGAGAAAATACAAACCTTAGAGGCATTCCTAGAGGAACTGGAGTTAATCAGAGCTCAACATAGCTGATTCACATCCAAGATAAAGTTGCTTTAGTCTCCACACTAGTCTTCAATGACCATGACCATTGGGAAGCCATTCCCTTTTAATCAATTCTCAGTGAGGCATCTAAATTTATACCAAATAAATGTGAATCCCAGTTAAAAGCCCAAGTCCTCTGTTGTTCAACAATCCACAAGGCCAATCAATAGCAATTACACTGCAGTATGTTCAGAAAGCATCAAGCACCAAAAAGATTGGTCACGACTCTGCAAAAAGGATCCGACAGGTACAGAGACAATGTCATAAAGTCCCTTGAGAAAAGAAACTCTGCACATAAAAAAGTTAACAAATCTTAAAAAGATGAGTCAGCAAGTTGAAGGTTTAACATCTCCAAAAGGTTTTGAACCACAATATGCTGACTTCCTTTCCCCGTCCCACCAACAATAAACTCTTTATACATACAGATGTATGTTCCAGGATAGCAACTTTATTTTGTACAAATGAAGGCCCTTCAGATCCTTGGGTTCCACATGCACAGATTCAACTGACCTCAGATCAAAAATAGTCAAAAACAATTAAAATTAACCATTCGAAAAAATACAAATAAAAAAATAGAGTACAAGTGCTTCTCACTTTATGATGGAATTGGTTACACGCTGATAAACACATCATAAATTGAAAATATTGTAAGCAAAAGTGTGTTTCCCACTTAGCATATTGTTTATTTACGCTGGGTTTATCCAGGTCCTAGCCCCATCCTAAGTCAAGCAGTGTACTGAATGTGTATCACTTTCACATCATCAGAAAACCAAGAAACCGTAAGTCAAACCATCATAAATCAAGGACCTTCTGCAGAACAACTATATACATAGCATTTACATTGTATCAGGTATTATAAGTAATCTAGAGATTAAATTATATGAGAAGATGTACCTAGGTTATATGCAAATATGTACCATTTTACATAAGGACTTGAGCATCCATGGATTTTGATATCTGCAGGGAGTCCTGGAACCAATTTCTTCATGGATACTGAGGCACAACTGTATTTGTTTAATGAATGGATGCAGGGCAGCAGCAAAGGGTAGGAGAGGAAATTATACTGAGGAGATGCACTGGGAAAATATATTTAGTTTTACACTTTGCCAGTTATGACATGGGATGATAGACAGCAAAGCACAGAAAAGAGGAAAAACTGTGCTAATTTTCAAGAAGGGGTTTATGTCCTCTCAAATGAACTTAGATATAAAAGCTAGCTTTTTAAAGAAATTATTATGTGAGTAACCATCAGCAGATGTTTACCTTTTTATGATCACTCTGAAAACCATGAATTCAGTAAACCCTGGGCCGAACAATCCCTGCACATAAAGGTTCTGTTCTACCAGGAACCAGCTCTTGTTCACACACACACACAACATGCTACAAATGACCGCAGCTCAAAGCAGTTTTGCCACCAAAAAAAAAAAGTTTTCTTTTCTCATCATGTTTTCATAATCTTTCCATTCATCTAACTTCATCTTCTGGATAGATGGTAAGTAAATAAGTCTCTGCAGACAGGAAGTAAACTCTACGACAAATCTTCACCAAGTATCTTTTTAAGTCCTCTGACCTAATATGAGAAAGTCATTTCTTCTAAAAATATAAATTTAAAATTATAAGATTTAAATTCAGACCTGACAGATGAAACTCAGGGATGTACTTATTTTGTATTCACAAATCGAAAATTGGAAGATAAAATTCTTAAGTCTAGGAAGGCTAAAATGAGACACAGGTGCAACCTTTTAAGTCATGAAAGAGGGAATGAGGGAAAGCGCAAGCTTGCTCCCTAAGACCTCAGGGGTAGGAGCAACCTTTGAAGCCAGAAAGGCGGCACATTTAGGACAAATGAAAGAAACACTCCAAAGAGTACCTAGTATGATTTGTTGCAGGTTACAAAAATTAAATACATTTTCATATATAAATATATGCATATAAGTATGCATATGACATCTACTCAAAATGACAGATTATTTCAATAATTACCTCACCATATGGATATCAAAGGGGAATCAAGACTATGGAATTCATATAACAAATATTTATGGAGTACCTCCTACGTGCTTGGCACCATTCAAGACTCTAGGAATACACTAGAGAACAAGACAAGCACATCCCTTCCAGTTAAAATTCCAGTTAACAGGAACAGAAAACCAAATGCCACATGTTTTCACTTATAAGTAGGAGCCAAATGATGAGAACACATGGACACATAAGGGTAACAACACACACTGGGTAGTTTTGGAGGGTGAGGAGTTGGGGAGGGAGAGGATCAGGAAAAATGATTGGTAATAGGCTGAATACCTAGGTGATGAAACAATCCGTACAACGAACCCCCATGACACAGTTTATCTATGTAACAAACCTGCACATGTACCCCTGAACTTAAAATATAAATTAAAAAATAAAATCAAATTCCAGTTGAAAGCCCAGCTCCTCTGTTCTTCAGCAATCCCTAAGGCCAATCAAAAGACAGTTTAGGCTAGGTGTGGTGGCTCACGCCTGTAATCCCAGTACTTTGGGAGGCCAAGGCGGGTGGATCACTTGACATCAGGAGTTGGAGACGGGCTTGGAAGAAACCCTGTCTCTACAAAAAAAAAAAAAAAAAAAAAAACCTGGGCACAGTGGTGGGCGCCTGTAATTCCAGCTACTCTGGAGGCTGGGGCATGAAAATCACTTGAACTGGGAAGGCAGACATTGCCATGAGCCAAAATCGCACCACTGCACTCCAACCTGGGTGACAGAGTGCGCCTCTCTCTCAAAAAAATAAAAAATAAAAATAAAAGGGGGGTGGTGATCAGTGTAGGAGCTGATTAAAATCAGCTTGGTTGAGGGACACCAGTGACAGAGACCCTTCCAGACTCCAAACCATGGGGTCCCTGATCTCCAGCTGGGCTCCCTCCTGCCTTGAACCCACCAGGAACTGTCCCTGTCCTACTGAGAGGTCGTGGCTAGCATAGCCAGGGGAAAATGAGCTCAGAGGGAAAAGGAAACAGCAGGCATTTGGGAAAGATAACTGCTAGAAAAGAAACATATTGAGCAGCCAATACTTGAACTGACATCAGGGAGACAGAGCAAAACATTTAAACAAGTGTAAAAAAATCCTCCCAGAAGAAAAAATATTCAACAAAGGAAGAAACAGCAGTTGTAAAGAAGAATCAGATAAAACACTGAAAAATACAGCTGAAGGAAAGAAACTCAAAAGATGCCAAATGTGCACAGATGAATAATTATTGTACAGTCTATGATAAGTGTTGGTGGAGAATGTGGGGACAGTGAATTCCCTTTTGTTCCTTGGGAGATTAAACAGGATATAACCATTGAAGAAAATTCATGTGGCAGTGTTAAGTAGAATTTTATAGAGATACATAAACACACACACACATGCATACATATGTTGCAACTTAATGAACCCGCTCCTGGGCACAAGGCCCCCAAAATTCTCAAACTTATCCATAAAAGTCATGTTCAAGACTGCTCACGTAGGCAGTGAGTGTAGCGGTGATTTGAATGTAAGTACAGTATCACGGTATTTCTTTTTCTTTTTTTTTGAAATGGAGCCTTGCTCTGCCACCCAGGCTGAAGTGCAATGGTGCAATTTCCGCTCACTGCAACCTCCACCTCCTGGGTTCAAGCAATCCTCCTGCCTCAGCCTCCTGAGTAGCTGGGATCACAGGCAACCCCCACCATGCCCAGCTAATTTTTGTATTTTCAGCAAAGATGGGGTTTCACCACATTGGTCAGGTTGGTCTCAAACTCCTGACCTTAAGTGATCCACCTGCTTTGGCCTCCCAAAATGCTGGGGTTACAGGCATGAGCCACCACGCCTCGCCAGCATCACGATTTTTCAAACTCTGCGCTACCACTTATGAGCTTCCTGATCTTTTTTGGCTTCATTTCTTCTGTAAAATGGGGATAATGATGGAACCTACTACATCAGGTTACTGTAAAGATTAGTCAATACCTATGAAGTGCTCAGACCAGTGCCTGACATAGCAAGCACTCCATAAATTAAAGCTTAAAAAAATATTTTTTAATGAACAGAAATCCAACCCTAGGGTAATTCCCCAGAGAAATTTCTGCAAAGGTCCATAATGGGAAAGGTATGAGGATATACATAGGACT